AAGCTATGAAAAACTCATAACTAAGTAAAGTAGAGGATTTTCAATGAACTCGGTCTTTCCGTGTAGGTTTTAGACGGACTTGGTACGGGAAAAAACCTTACCAAGCTATTAAAAACTCGTAACTGAATGTAGTAGGGGATTTTCAATGAAAAATGTCTTTCCGTGTACTACTACAACGCACTAAACGATTATTCAATCAAAGCTGAAACGAAATATCAAGCGATTTTCACAGATCTTTTGGCTACAAGTTAAATTGAATAAATTGATTAATAAAATTTAATGATATTCTCTAATATATTTTAATTATAATACCAGGCCACAATAAGAGTCTGTAATATTCTTATGTAAAGGAGAAAAAAAGGCATGAGTAAGTGAATTACCTTTTTTTTTCTTTACGCACAGAGAAGAGTGAGCCAGATGGCGAGTCTACTTCTGCCATCATTTGGGCTCCCACGAGCGTGGTTTAAATCTCGATTGAAGACATCTTGTGCTGATTTGTCACGTGTACAACTGTTTTTAAAGATTAAATAATAGTAAGTGATTAAAATTTATTAAATCTTTCTAATTTCGTTTTCTTCGTTTCTTTCCAGCACGGGCATAGCATCAAATGTGTGCACACCATTACTCGTGATATTATTGGTACCCTGTTAACCACGGGAATAAATAATCGATTGTTCTACACGTAAAATAAAAAGCAATTACCATTACTCATGATGGTATTGGTGGCTTCTAAACTGGTTCTGAATCGCGCACGGGACGTCTTCGATACTCCACTCTGGGTAATATTGACAACTCTTAGGCACGCCACGAATGAGTGCATCGGGATACATCGGGATACATTGGGATATGTTGGGATACATTGGGCACAAAAACTGCTTCGAGTCATTGCAACTTGATTTCCTTCACTCGAAAACATTCGTACCCTCTTTTCGAATACCCTACCACGCGATTCAACTATCTTCTATCCCCACATTCCACCTATGCGCCCAACGTGAGTCTTGAGTTATTAAGCATAAGCTTAGACTTATGTTTTCGTATAACTTTTGGTAAGAAATCACACGAACACTGTAGTTTAATAATGCAACCTCACTTTTTACGTGTTAGTTACATCAAAGTGTTAGTGAATTATTCTTAGGAAGTTTTGTAGGTTACACTATCTATAAATTTATAGGAAAAAATCAATGCGTGTACATTAACCTTTAATTCATATTCCTGTAATTGTAGATTAGACCCTCTATAACTAAGACAGGATCAATAACAGGGTCATCTCTTTCATACTGAGCAAAAGATTTTGATACCACTTACAAATTTAAGCTGGATTTCATTAACATGAAACATCAGACTTAAGTAATAGCTATATTTGTATAATTTTAAATGCAGGCTGATAGTGCATTTACGTAATAGGAACGAAGTCACAAATAGTCGGTGGTATAATTTCTCGATCTGGATAAGTCTCCTATTCAGAAGTATCTGCCCCCTGGAAACTCTGAGTGTCAATCCTTTTGTAACTAAACCTCCTTTTGAGGAGAGGCGAGGGAGAACACAAAAATGTGAGGAATGAGGAGAGAAAAGCGAAAGAATGTAATTATTGCTTTTTGAGGTGAACAGGGAACACAAAAATTTAAGTGAAGTCGTTAGATGGTGAGTGGAGCAAAGGTAATAGATGGCTAGGGGGGCTGAGGAAAGTGAAAGAAAAATGTGACTGAGGGGCCAACGGAAGTAAAATACTAATGAGAAAAGGGATCAAGGAGAAAAAAATAAGTAAGTAAGGCTTTATGTAAAATATATTTGAGCTGTTTTAAAGAGAAGTAAAATAAATTTTGCCTTACTCAAAGGGTTGGTTGAGAGTCGAAAAGGAGTGGGGATAGGGTTAATAGAGTGGAGTATGGATTGCTTCTCTTATAAAACTGTTACACACACACACACACACACACACACACACACAACAATGATCAGCGTGAAGTATTCCTAAGGGAGGGCCTTGTATAGATGCAGTGAAGAATTTAATAAATCCTGTTATAGTATTAATAATATCATATGAAATTAATAACTGTATTATAAGGGTATGTTTTTAATTTGTGGAAACATTGTATAAAACTTTATTAGGACTTAAAAAGGCATCATTAAGATCCTCAAAAGGATTACCTTTCCATTGCATATAGGATGGTTGGTGAGCCTATCAATCTGGGAGGTGAGCCCCTTCCGCAGTAATATAGAGAGATAACAGACTACTCGGGTGACTCAGGTGGCTGACCTTAAGAATTGTTATCTTAGTGTGGGGGCGTAGAATAATTGCATGGATGGGCTTGCTCTTGTACATGAGAACAGTGTTAAAATTAACTAAGTACGTTTAGAAAGCTATTCAGTTGACTTCGGCCAACCGTGGAAAGTGTAAGGGCATAGGGGGCATAACAAATGAATATACATGGACCCCCCTGTACCTCCTTCACTTTCCACCCCCGCAAAGTGTCGGTTTATGTACACAGTGGTGGTGGTGACAAAATTACTTTGCAATACGGAGAAATTCCATATTATGAATCAAAATATAATATAAAAGATTTATATATCGCTGTTCTGGACTAAGACTATGCCCTTATCATTGCTAGACAAAAACTATGCTTTTTTGACCTCCCAGGTAAAGATTATGCCTTTTTTTCTACTTTCGTCCGGGCTAGACAAAAGGGCATAGACATCGTCGAAACTCTGGAAAAGGGCATGTATTGCGATTCTACATCTACCTTCTTAAATAACTTTTTGGTTTAATACATCCCTGACCTTTACTATTCTTGTTTCTTTTTTTTTCTTGTTACTGTCTTCTTTTATCAAATTTGCGAGTCCCATGTGTGCACCACTTGCAATGATCGTCTCTGACGACTCAGTTATTCATAGTACTAGGTAATATTTAACGTATGCAGCAATTGTTGCAACGGGTCACTTCTATCATCTGAATTTATAATATGTGTTTTACATTTATATTTATATTCTTCTATTTTATTATATTTTCTTATAATAAAAAATCCGTCTAATAGACAATTCAATAATACACATTTTTTTTATATACACACATATATTTCATTTTTTTTAAAAATTTCTATTTTAAAATTCAAATTTGAACGCCGCGCGCGGGGAATGTGCGCCTAGTACGTTAAGAAAACGCTAGAGCGCGGGAAAACCTGCTACTCAAAAGGAAGTATTGTTAGCATAAAAGGCACTAGTGCGCAATGCAAAAGCAGTTCCTCTTCCAGCGAGCCTGGGACGCGGTATATCCGTTGCTCACCCAGACCTGGAACTTTCCTGTGCACCGGTCTAATACCGCGACGAGCACGAAGGGAGAGAAAGAGACGAAGTACGAAGGCCGATAGCTGAAAAGTAAGTGTGTACACCACCAACAAGGTAACACTTTCACTAACTGGTATCTACTTGGACTTTCGGTGCTCGACCGCTTTAAGCGTGGAGACGACGCATCCCCAAGTAGTCGAGGCACTAGGGTTAGCGACCACGTTCTTAGGCGAAGTTCCTGGGTTGAAGACTTGAGCAGTGCTCAAGACACCCAAGGGCCCTGAGAACGACCTAACCTTACGTGACTTGGAAGGATAGGTAGTTACATAACACTAACTTTCCGTGGTTGTGATAAAAACTCGTCTTAGTCTAACCTAACGTGTTCAAGCAGAGACATTAAGGAGAAAAAATTCAAATTACCATTTATGTAAAAATTTCCTATTAAAAGGGCGGATAAATTTTAAGTAAATTATCGAGTATACTATATTTTTTTTTATTATTAACGTAAATAATTGCGATTACTCAATATAATGAATACATGTAAAAATTAAAGAAATAATTTCCTTAGAATCATATGATTGAATAAATATAAGAGAATTAAAAATAAATTAATTGTACTTATTTAAGCAAACCTTTCCCTCTACATAAGATTGCGAGTTCCTTTTATAGTTTAAGACAAAAACTAGAAAAATAGCTGTTAAGATTTGAAATCGTTTATTTAAACTGAGAATATTATCTGTACCCCCAAAAGGGACAGGAATAAATAAAAAAAAAAAGATATTAGATTAGAAAAATATTGAATAAGTTAAAAAAAAGATATTATTAAATTGATTAAAGTAAGGGAGTATTCAATAAAGTAATAATCAATAAACAATTGCTGTATATGATGCAGGAATTAATTGATTATTCAACAGATAAATTTTGAAACTTAATAATTATTTTAAATATTGTATATAATCATCAAATCTGAGCAATTTCTCTCTTTTACACAGGGCAACGAACCCGCCCTCCGACATATAAACACTAACATTGTTTGTGTGTTGGTTCCTAATCTTAGAGTTTCCTCGGTACAAATAATATTCTTAGCCGATTGTTACTACCACTAATTAACCGGGGTTATACTCAAAGAAAGAGAAGTCGTATTGTCTTAAACATACCCTAGCTATTATCAAGTTTAATGGAAAGATATCTGCTAATGAACCATTTAACTTGTTGAGCTAACCTTTCCAAAACTAATAGTGACTTTACCGATAAACTTGTCTGATCATGATTCGCTTCCTTCAAGAAAGCTCGTAGATGTTTAGACATCACCAGGATAATACAATATTTCTTTCTAAAAACAGATCAGTGTTTTTTTTATAACCTTGAAACCTGTGGTACCAAATACATCTGCAAAAAAAAATTCTTCGCCTAGAAAGTTAGCTCAATACTTACTGAATTATTTAAACAGTTTTGTTCTAAATTGTTTTGTGATGCAACTTAGAATGTAGGAAACTCTTTTTATTTCTGAAATACAATGGATATTTGTAAGGCTATTGGGGACACAGTAATATAATCTTTGCAATTTAAATTATTATACACATAAAAAAGAGGCATTGTGATAAAAGGTATTACTTAAGAATTTTTTACTATTAAAAAGTATGCTCAATTTTGAAAGATAGTTGAATATTCTATACTGTAAGAGAAATATTATGATGTCAATACATAAAAACAATACGTACCTAATCCCCATATTCGACCTCCCCGGAATTCACCCTCATACTTCATACCATCGGATCTCCAAAACACTCCATGCCCATGAAACCAACCTTGCATAAATTCTCCTTCATACCTGTTAAGAAAATTTTAAGAGTTATTAAATGATTTTTTTTTTATCCTGTTATATATATGTTGAAAACAGCTATTTTGGTTTTAAAGTAATTGTGCTGAAGATAAGTAGACAAGGTAACTTATTTATCTTATATTACTGCCCGGTACTTTTGTACTCAACTTTATATTGTAATACATTTTGTGTTTCCACAAAAAAGTTTCACAGCTGGATCTTATAAAAAATTAATAATTTATGTTTTTTGTAAGAATCATAATTATTTTATTTTAGAACTGTGCAGAAAAGAGATAAAACTTTTCTTTGAAAAGTAAAGGAATAAAATAATAAAATAAGATAAAGATAAAAATAAGATTAGATAAATAACAAAAATCAAAGATATCAAGGGGGATTTATTTTTTATGCTTTTTTGAATAATTTCCTAATCCGTGTAATGTTTACAACAATTGTTTTTAGATTTTCAATTCATTGAAAAATCTTCTTATTAAAAACATATTNGAATAAAGATTTATGTGAAGATGAGTAAAAATGTCAATAAAATAAATAAGCACACTTACGTTTAATAATAATTTCTTCTTTCGATTCGTTTAACTTTGCATTTACTTATGCACTAAGGAAATGTTTTATTCAATCACTACACAGATTGATTATATCCATCAATGTCCTTTACGCAACCGTGAAATAGTTATCAATTCTTTTTCTTCTCTTTAAAGGAACAAGATACCAGATACTTTATCACTAAGCTGAAATTTGAGTGTAAGTATTAAAATAAATTTCAAGAGCTTACAAAATTTACATGTGGTTCGAATACTTCAGAAGCTCTATACCTATGAAAAAGAGGTCACGTTGGGTTAGATCGCTCTCAAATTTCTTAGGTGTCTCAGGCACTACTCAAGTGATTGACGTAGGTGCTTCGCCTAAGGAACGGTGTCTTTGTTTCTAGTGCCATAAATACTTATGAGTGTGTCATTCTCATTTTTAAAGGGGTCGATTACCGGAAGTCCAAGTATACACTGGTTAGTGATCAAGTGTACATATTTGCACTTACTTCAACTTTGTTGATCTCCCATTCTCAGCCCTCTTGACTTCACAGTTTGTACCGGTGTACTGCAGAGCTCTGGTCTGGATTAGCAGCAGATTACTGTTTTCCAGTCTCACTGGAAAATAATGCTTTTTCTTACCTGTGAGCTCCTTTCATAGGCGATTGACACTTAATTTTCCATCACAATCAACGTTTTCTATCCTTGCAATATCATCCCTATATATTTTCTAATAATCCTTGCAAGGATGCTATCTAGTATCCTGCACTTGATTCATAGCACATATTGCTTGATTTATCCTTACTTCTTTTATATTTAACTAGGTATATTTTATACAGAACTGCTTCGACGCACCCTTTCATATGCACTTAATACAAAAGATTTTTCTAATTTGTCATTTCATCACGTACGATTTTTCGCTGTGAATTTTATTTTTAGGGGTATCTTCTTAGCTTTTTACTTTGAACAACAAAACTTTTTCTTTGATCATTTGCTTAAAAGAACGCGAGAATAAGGTAGCTATTCTGAATAATGCTTGAGGGCACAAGCAAATACTCCAAAAGAAGAAGATGAGACGCACGCATCTGAGGAGTGACAAAAATCTTGGCCCAGCTTGGATTATATGTCATCTGAAATGCGTGCTTAGGATGTGTTGGAATATATATGTGTGTATGCAATAATTTTATTTGTTTGTATTGATTTATGTATGAGACTGATGAACAAGTCACGGTCTAAATGCGCAATAGGTTAGTTAAGCTAACGACGTCAAAAGGAGACGGTTGACTACGCATGAGCTCGTAGAGGCAGGGCGAGGGGCAGACGTGTCGGACGCCATGTGCTTTGTGCCTCTACGTGCAAGATTCGCTTATTGTATGATTATAAAAGTGCCAATATATAAATCTTTGTATTCATCCTTGTTTTCTGCCGTTGATAATTTTTTGCATCCCTGCTACCTGATGCTGCACTAGCACCTGCTGTGTGTTATTCTGCTGAATTGGCTTGGTGGAGCCGATTTTTAAAATATCAGAATGACTTTAGTATTTAAAGACGGAGCTGGACAGCTATAGTGTGCCGGTCAGACATTGTTCCTAACATTTTTTTAATTATTTGGGCATTTGTATAAAACGTAAGTTAAAATCTATGCTCTTTGTTATAGTGTGTTAACTATTAAATCGGTGTGACAATTTTAAGATTGAGTGCCATGATTATCTTACAAAAACTTGTTAAACTTTTAAGTATACGTGATTTATAGTAAATAATGAGATACATGATAATAAAAGTATTTTTATGTTTTTCAAACTGATAAATATATATAAAAAAAGAATCTGTAATTCTTAGTGTCTTGTTGACGACTGTTTTTGCTATACAACCAAAATGCTATGACTTATGTCTTAAGATCAGTACACTTTTACAATCATGACGTCCATTTTTACATTAGGTTAAATTTTCTTCTCAGCTCTACCCCTTTATGCTTTTTAATACCTTCTTGGCCTCTTATAGGTCACCTTTAATATTAGGTATAACTATCACAGTTTGTTTGTTATTTAATAAGATTTGAATCTCTATTTAATCTCCTAAGCCCCAGAAATCTCCCTACATTTTTGTTTTAGTAAAACACAAAATACAATTATTTTGTTTTCTCGCTTTGTTACATGGGTATAATTTTTGATCTTTTCATCTTCCTTAAAAAAAAAATGATACTATTTTCTTAGCTGCACTATACAATGGATATTTGTGAGGCTATTGGGGACACAGTAATATAATCTTTGCAATTTAAATTATTATACACATAAAAAAGAGGCATTGTGATAAAAGGTATTACTTAAGAATTTGGTGTTGTAATGGCATGCAAATTAAATATCAGTTTTTCTAGTCAGTTAAATACATAAACAATAAATTAACTTATAAGTTTATATTATTTCATTATTTTTTTATATTATTATTTGGAGTTTACATCAGCAATAAAACACCACTTAGTTTTCTTAAGCAAAAATTTTTTATTTATATAAATCAATATTTCGTCTTATCATGGAGACCTCAGTTTATATCATTGATTAGAATGATTTATTGACTTAAAATACATTTCATTGTTTTGAAAAATTAAAAATATTCTAGTCAGGTCGATCAGAGTCAAAAAAGTAGTAAGACACACACATGAAACTTTCTTTAATAGTGATTTGGAGACTGATGTGTACTAGCTATCCCTAGCTAGGCATTGCTTTACAATGCATAGTTTTCAAAATGAAATAAGGAGTCTTGTACAATAATTTAAAGTAACTTTTAACATTGCCTGTCGACATTTGACAGAAATCGGATTAGATAATTGAATAAAGATTTATGTGAAGATGATAGCCTCATTTTAATTTCTATGAAGATGGTAAAGGGCTTCTTAAAAAAAATTATGAATCTTTCCACATTATATGTCACAAGTATTGTAAATATCTGATAGTTATTGTAATTTATCAATTGCATAACAATATTAATAATCTTACAATGCATTTTAAATAATTATCAATTAAAATTACCTATTTATGGTGTAAAGAATTGTCAAACAACTAAACAAAAATTTTTCTTTCACAAAACAGAGAAATATACTACTTTTTAAGACTTAGTAAAGCAAAAAAAAAAAGTCTAATAAGATTAGTTGAATTCCCATCTAATAGAAAGAAGTTATTGTGGAGCACGCAAGGATAGGAATGTCAACTCATTAACGTATATATTTATGTACTTACAGGCCCCACCCTTCTGTGCTTTTCGTGCTCTAAGCCCTTCAATTATGCGTTATTTCATAGTTCTTTAGGTCATAACAAATACACTAATATCAAACATTTATTTGTTTAATATGAGACAGTTCTTGCTCAAAATAAATGCAGTAATAAAGAACTATTTGATGGTATCTCCCACTTTTATGTACATTTTGTTCGGAGGATAAATCATCTCTTTCTTTGATAAAACTTCGATGGGGATGATCGCTTTTCAAATAATCCTACTACTTCAAGCTTTATATACATAATTTTGGTTTTTCAACTTTCAAACAAAGAGACTTCTTTAATTGTATTATATTTCACTTGAAATAAAAAAAAAACCGAAGCTTACCAAGAACATCTATACATTTAACAGCGCAATGAATCTTGATCGAATAAATTGACTGTTTCTGTAAGTTTACTCAGAACACTATAAACCTTCTTAATAGGGCAACACTTCCATGGTTTGTACTACTGCATAACTACGTGTTATTGAAATTTATGTATATATTAATATTATGTTATTTAAATGCAAATTAGAAATTGGAAATTTTTAAACTGTTCATGCACAAATAACACTAGAAAAAAGCTTAATACTCTAAAAACATAATACTTACTTAAAAATTAAAAACTAATTTGTAAAAATTTATTAGTAATTTAACTATTAATTATGTAAATGATTTAGGAATTTTAAGTATACATATGTATAAGGTCTATCTAATTATTTAAGAATACATGGGATCAATTATGGGTAGTGGGATGTCTTAATGAAAAATAATCCAAGTTAAAATAACAGAAGTGACGTTTAACGTACATTCACCATGTTTTAAATATATATAACCAGTCAATCATGTTTACTAACATTTATACACGTATGTATTGCTTAATTTTAAAAGCTCATGTCTTATCGTTATTTGCAAATGAAATACTTTTAAAAAGTAAAATAATATGTATACATATATACAGTAGGCTTTGAGATCCAAGATGGTTAGTAAGGTGTCAGTAAGATTGCCTAAAAATGGTTTAAGGGTGCTGTGGGTAATGGTAGGAGTCACAAAATATCTTGCGGTGGAGTCTATGAAACACTGTTATGTTGTAGAAGGTTGGAGTAAAATGCCTCTTACAAACATCTATAATATAAATACATAAGTGGGGCTACGTCTCCCTGTGCACTCTCTGCTAACCCTTCATTTCCAGTTTAAAATTAATTAGTGACATTAGA